TCCAAACAATATTCGTGTTTTCACCCGGTTATCGAGGATTCGGCTGGTTTGTCATTACGACTACTATGGTGCAGGTAAGAATCAATTTATTGATTTATCAAATTTTAATATCGATTCAATGGTTTTCAGTTGATAGTCTGTGTACTGGTTTTCCTCGCTATGATGGCAAGTCTAACAGCATTGGTGGAAGCGCCAATGTGGCCAATGGCGGTATGCTTAAAGATTTTGTGATACTATGGCTCTTCTGATTTTTTGTAAGCTCCAAAGAATCAATGAGTGCTGCGTTTGCGTAGCGGGAGCAAATCTACCGAACTGAATATAGAATTTTCTATAGATATGGATAAAAATATTCGAGAGATAGTCAAAATTAAGCATACTTTGCAACCGCATTCGTGCACTCCATGTGTGTGAAAAACAACCATAATGGCACTTATAAAATGACAAATTCCATAATTTACTTCCTGGTGATCAACAGAAAGCTTTTGTTAATCCATCTAAAAATCACATGAAGCCTAGGTCTCGAAGTAGCCGGATGAAAATGTGCTTTTTTGTCCCATCATGGGTTAAGTCGTCCTTCCGTCCAGACTAGAAGGCAGGGGTCTCCTCTGTTTCTACTCATGCAAAAATAGTTCTAGAAGTTGAGCAGGATTTGGTAGTATATTGTGGAACTTGTCGCCTTTCGCAGTAACCTTTTTTCCCAAATGTTAAATCATCTTAAACTAATCTCAGACTTAGATTTTTACCAATTTTAATTACTGTACTTTACGCCACTTTAGGAACATTAGAAGCGATATTTCTGATATGCAGATGATAACATCCCAATTTGTAGTTTCTAAAAGGAACAATCACTTTCCTTTTTTTCTCCAGGAAATGGTCTACAGTGCAATGTTCGCCGTATTTCAAGCGATCAACTTCTTCTACTTCCTTGTAAATACGTTTTCACATTTCAACTTCTGGCTGCTACTTGGAGTGGTGAGTTGTGGTTTTTCTCCGAAGAGCAAGCATAGAAGTAGTTTGGTGTCATTATTTGATGCTTATGAGTTTCAAGGTATCATAAAGTTGAACTGAATTGATCACAAGATATATTTCGTTATTTACGAAACAGAAACAAAATCAATGAGAGTTTGAAAGTGACATACTTGCTACAAATTGAAATCTTTCAATAACTGACGTAACTATCAAAACATGTCAATCGATGCTGTACAACTACTTCATTTTTCTCATAGAACTGAAAATATACATGACTACTAAGTTACGAACCTAAGTAAGAAATCATTGGATTTGTTAGCAGCCAAAGACGAAACGACAACCAAGCAAAAGGTGCTCTCAAATTTTGAAATGGCTATGCCCATAAACCAC